CTGGCTGGACTTGCTTTGTACGGTGCTCATGAAGCAGGGACAAAGTCAAATCATACCAGAAAATTACCACTCCCACAGTGTTTGGCATATACAAAATTGGCATGGATAGAAATTTAGGATATTTTTATCTTTTGGATCTTTTGGAGCTGAAAGCAAGCTCAAGGCATGTCTTTGCAGGGACAGAATGTGTCAGTTTACCACAACTGATGATGATGTGCGCCTGTGCAAATAAAGAATTTGCTATACCCACTTTTCCTAATATGCTGTCTTACTATGGAAAGTGTCATAATTGGAAACCAAGTATCTGGATACCTTTCAAGGTGACTTTCATTAAAATCCCATTGGCAGGTGAGGTTCCTCTTCACTGAACGAAACAAGACATTGGTGTAAGACACTGAGATATGAAGTATTTTGCTCATATGGCCTTTATGTGCAAAACACACCTGCAAAAGTGATGTGGGGGAAAAAAAAACTTTCACAAAACGAAATAGAGATAATATGTATGTAACATCTGTAGAAGAGATTACATTCTCATTTAATCCCATCTCATATGAGTAAGGAAGGATCTTGTTCAAAGTCAGCACCTGATCCCACCCCATGAGGCCAAGGAGCCTTGAACATGCCTAGTGGAAACAGAGCCCTGCCATTCAAAATGTTCTATTTGCTACTGCACATACTTCATCTGATCCCTCAAGGCTTCAGTGAGGTCTAGGGGGAATAATATAGCTGGGAAGAACCAGAGGGGATTTCAAGGATCTGTGAGTGGGGAAGGGAGGCTGGAAGAATCAGTGAGATTTCCAGGGTGCAAGGTTTGGGGAGGGTGTCAGCTTATGGAAGTGAGACTGGAAGAGGTTTATGAAGGGGAACTGGAAGGAGTCTGGAAGGACTACAGGAGACTTTGTTGGGGGAAGTCCTCTCACTCCTTCCTCTTTGCTTTCAACCCCAGCTATTCACCCTCCTCCAGGCAGCGAAGAAGGGGAGATAGAAAAGGCTGAGCTTGAGACCCTGCTACTACTGAGGGTAGATGTAGAAAATGACCAGAGAAGTGAGCCAAAGCGGACCCCAAGTATCAGTGTTTTCTGTCTTATTAAGGACGGGCCACTTCTGCATCCAGTACTCTTTCGAACCCCATCATCCCACCTTCCTCTCCCTCATCAGTGGCTGCAACCCACAGGAGCAGAGGACAGCCAACTGTGCTAGACAGTATCCATCTCTCATGGTCCCAAACTGCCTACACAGTCAAGCATCAGCTGGTAAATAAAAGCACTCTGCTTCATCCATGGCCAGCGACCATAGTCCTGAGATAACGATCCTTTGCGAGTTTGGGGGAAGGCTAAACAGACTGGATAACTTTATGCTGCTAACTTGGCTCTGAGTATTCACTTCCTAACGCAATGTACTCAACAAGAGCAACCACTTACATGTGTGTATTCAGTAAGATCATATATCAGCCAAGTTGATGGGGAAGTTTTCACCAGCTGTTCTGGTCTGTGAGCGCTGAACCTCCCACAGAAGGGCTCCGTCCCACTGATAATGCGCCCTGTGGTAACAGGGTCCTTTGTGTCTGATAGAGGTAAAAAAATAAAGGGGATCAAAGTACAGGAAATAGGTATTCAAAAAGTTTGTGAACACAGTCCTACTCTTATAGATTCTCCTGCCCAGATAAATTTTGAACACTCGTAGGGCAGTTGTCTCCTAGGTAAAGGATACTGAAAGGCAAGAGGGGCAATTAGATCCCTGTTTTGACCACAAAACTTCATGCCAAATGCTATTGTCTTAAGCCAAAAAGAGTCTGTGACTAAATACTTTCCCTCCAGGAAATACACAGACAAAGCTGGAAATCAACATAGCAAACAGCAGAGAAACCACCTCCCCCCCCCCACACACACCGAGCTTGCTCCACTGGGTTATCAACCACACCAACAGCAATTGCTAGGATTTCTTTTGTTCCTAGTGTTTAAGCAAGAGGCTTTCTTCCATCAGTAGATACTAACTATTCACCTTTACCTCCAATAAAAGAAATAGATTCCATCAGATGAATATAATAGAGAACAAATTCCTGTGAAAATCTTTCCTGAAAGATATTATGAATGTAGTAAGTTTAGCTGTATTCAAGCGGAGGCTATGCAAGTACTCGGAAAGTAGTGCCACTGAAAGCTAGTATATTAACAAAAATATCAGGCTTAAGAAATTAATTGACATGAAAAAAACCTTTGGATTTGGAGAAAACTAAGATATACGCTCATCCAGTTTTCATTCTTTCCTAGGCACCTGTTTTGATTTCTGCTGAAGACAGGACATAAGGCTTGATGAATCATAGGTCTGAACATGTGTGGCTGTTTTTGTGTTGTCCTGGAGTCTGTTCATCACAATTTATTGTCATTATGCTACCTTTAAATATTTTCTACATTTTAGAATGAACTAAAATAAGAAATCAAGTACCTCTTTGTTCTATTTGTTACATATCATTTTTTATTCCCACTTCACTGTTGAACTATCACCAGCTTTTCAGTTAAAGTTATTTTCTTTTTTTGTTGGTAGAGTTCTAGCTTTGGGACCACATAATTAGACCAATAATGTCCAGTTGCTATCTCCATTTTTATACCTAAGATTTCTATCCCTCCCCAATTAATTTAACTCATTACTTTCCTCCACTTGGAAGAGTCAATCACCAAATAGACATATTACTGGCTGGGATCTGTTCTTTGCCCATACTGAATATAAGGATACAATAAGAAGTATCTATGGAGCCACTTTTTGGCGTTCTTTACAGATATAAGAGAGTTACTTTCCGACTGGTGCAATACCTCCATGTTAGAAAGCTATCTATAATTTTTACAAAAGCTAATATTTTATACCTTGCCTGACCAGTCAAGTATACCCCAGATATTTGCACTGCTGCACTGAGTAAATGCAGCAGTCATCAAGAAAGACCGAAAGCAAAGATCTCTAGAGCTGGAATCAGCCTGAGCTGTAGCTGTTGGCTCTGTTAGATTTGCTTAGATTCAGTAGATATACTGAAAAGCAAATAATGTCACATTTCCCAGGACTTGCATTTTTTGTCTCTATTCCTAATGTTCCCAACCATCAAAATGTATCAGCTACTCTAAGTTTGCTGTGATGCATGACTAAGTCATGTAATATATTACAGGAAAATGTAATACATTTGTAAATGTATTAATCATGTTTTTAATATTAGTACCATAAATTCCATCATCGGAATAAATACAAATAGTGAATACCTGAGGAAAAAAGTGTATATAAAAAAAAAATATTTAATGTGTACATTTACTGTTATTAAAAGTACATTTATATCATAAAAAGAATCAACTGCCATATCAGATACTGCTTATTTGTCAAAGAAAATCACTACCTTTCTCAAAGCCATTCCGAAAAAGGATTTTAGCAGAAGATGGCTCAGTTTCACATCTTACTGAAAGAAGTTCCTCTATTGCTACTTGTACCTTAAAGAAAGTGAAATGCGGTTACAATACAATAACATCTGACTAGTTTCAGCAGAAGGCTTCAACATGTTAAGTCATCGCTGCATTTTTCATCAAATAGGGACAGATAGCAAGGCAGTTCTGACCAAGCAGGCAGCCGGATGGTAAAAATCAGCTCAAAACACGGGGGCTTCACTGCAGAGAGTGAAGGCCAAGATCAGATGCTTCGATACGCTGCAGAATCCCATGGGGATTCAGGACAAAAAAACAGAGACACTCCCAATACCAGAAATCATCACTAGACGATATCAAATTTATCTCAACCCCTAGGCTTTGACTGCTGTTAAGTGCAACAGCTCCATCAATTGCACCAGCATAGACTTGATTTTTTAAGTTTAAGGATACCTACCTGGCGAGCAGTGGCATTTGTGGGAATCATGTTGCTGAATACGTCATTCCAGGAGATGCTGAACCACCCCGTACCCGACACAGTCAACATCTGACAGGCAAAAAGCAAATAAATAAATAAAACCAGATACAAACTGCATAAGATGTACAGAGTTCTAACCTGGTATATAGATCTCTGACCAAAGAGCTTTTTGTGGCCAGTATTTTAAAACTTCTGTAAATCGAGAGCCCCTTCAGCTACTTTTGAAGCTGCTCTTGGTCTCCACGCTCTCTTTTGACACACACACTGGGGGCTCCCATTCTCAGATTAACAGCAGCGCAAGGGATACACAACCTGTGCAGAAGCAATAACTGCCACAAACATACCCTCCGGCCTCCCGATCAGCATCTCCTAGATTTAACCACTAGGATAGACTTCCCTCACTACTGAGAGCTTCATCAAGCTGAAGGTTTCTATCAGTCACCTGACTGCAATACGAGGCACATCTGATAACATGCATTTTGAACGTGTTAGAAAAAAGTAAAAGGTATCCCAAGTCTGTATAAATTAACATGAGTCACTAATTAGTGAGTAAAAGCTGAGGGGAGTCAGCATTGCTTGCAGTTCAATGCATTAGCAGGTTATAATGCAAACGTAGGGTTTACGTCAGCCTGCCAACATGTATTAAAAGCCTTGTACAGCTTCGGCTTACATGACACTATTTATTAACACACTTTCATGCCTAGCAAGGCCAAGGCCTTTACCCACAGGATTTGCTACCCTCTATATCACCAGGGCCAGTATAGCTCCCAGGGTCACGCACACAGCACTGACCTGCACTTCTGGAAGTCGCAAGGCACGAGCCTGAATTTCATGTCTCTCCAGGTAGTAGGTGTTCACCACATGGGGATTCAGCCACGTGTTGTGTATCTGGACGCCAACTCTCATCCCGCTGCTGGGTGCCTTGCCATGATGCAGCGCTTCCAGGTAGTACCTCGAGCCAGCAGTTAGCTCGAATTTGGGGGATTTTGGCTGCCAGCTCTCATTCCAGTTATTTTCCCAGTGCTCAGACCACTCAGAATTGCCCGCAGGGAGAGAAGCTATTCTTACCTATGTCCAAGCCAATAAAAACAATCAGAGCCATTTCTCCAGCCCCAAAAGTCACTGTGTCCAGCACCACAGCTCTACTGATACAGAGAGGAGGTTTGTGCTCATAACTAACAGAAGTGGGTTGATGGATGACATTTTTCCGTTTTATTACGCAGGGAGAGCCATCCTCTCAGTGAGGTTTAGTTTAGGACTGTGAGCTCAATACCAGAAAGAAGGCAATTCCTGTGGCTGACTCTAGCCTAATGACATTTTTCCCATTTAGCTTTTCATGAATGGCTTCAATTCTATGTCTCACGTCCCACAAATACAAAGGAAAGAACTATATCTACAGCCCTCTGAGGTGTAGCAAGTTACTATTTGTAAGAAAGATCAGCAACATAGAGCTTTTTAAGAGATAAAGAGAAGGCCTATATGCTTCTGCTAGCACTGTTCAGTTATTTAAGCTTAAGACAAGCCTAAAGAGACAAAGTACCTTTATTTGTAGCATCCCCTGTAGCATTACAGAGAGAAAGACCAATGTTTTCAGAGGGTGGAATTTCTACAGGTAAAAAAGGATGCAAAAGAAAGCAGTAGGACAGAAAGCCTCCAGGTCCCCTTGTACAGATTGAGTAACATGTGGAAATACTAAAATGTCTCCCAGAAAAGACTTTCAAAAATTCTGGATGCAATAGTGAGCCTTTCAGGAGCCGAGCTGCTGATAAGCGCCAATGTAAAACACCAAATATAATCTGACATATTTAAGTCTACAGCAGGTGCAGAATAAGGGCTAATAACCCAGTTCTTACTGGTGAAATTCTCACTTGTGATGACCTTAAATACAACTCTTCCCTATCCTAACTCTCTTATTTTTGCTGTGCCAATAGTAATACCTTACATCCTGGATCTTGGGACAAACTCAAGTATAGAGATGCTGGACCGTCCGCCTGAATCCAGAAGGTATAATTGTTGGTCTGAGGAGCCACAAAAAATCCACGAAGCCTGGAGCTAAACAAAAGCAGAACATCAATAACACGTGTAAGAGTTAGCGCAACCCCTCTCCACCCTATCTTCACACATACACTGAGTAACAGAGAAAGAACGTGGGACCTATCTACAGCAAAACACAAATTCATTCAGAGACTTAAAACTGCTAAAAACACCAAAAATGACCCATTTGCAGATTAAATAGTGTTTATAATTGAGATAATCTAGGAAATTGATTGAGATAATTCAAGGAAGAAGAAAAAAAATAGAGTTACCTCTCCAAGGAAGTAGGTATGATTTTGCTGGTGGCTGCATACCCTTGTGCATTTATTCTTAATCAAAGCCCTATCCCTGACTAGACAAGAAAAGGCTTAAAATCACACATAAAATCAACTGAAAAATACACCTAAGTGTTAGAAAAGTGAAGATGTCCATGCATTTTGCACGGCTCTCCATAGGTGTCTCTAAAGAGGCTCAGGAGGGTGCACTAACACAGCTCACAGACAGATTTGCAGCTTGGGGCACAGCAGTGTATTTCCACCAGCTCCAGCTGAGCTGCTGTTGCCAACATTAACTAAGGATCTGACCCTCCACATCTGGCTGGAGCTCTAACCTAAGGCAGCCTCTACTACAGCTGTTTCTACCTCCTCAGCTGTTACTTTTGTGGTGTTTCAGCACATCCAGGCCAGACAGAGGAAAAAAATACTGAGCAAAAGTAAAAAGGGGGAAGGGGAATAAAACATTTCACAGAATATTTTGAGCTTCAAAGGGGCGTTGGAGCAGAGGGCTTGCTTTGATTCACATGAGCGACGCAGTCAGACTTTGCTATAAAGAACTGTCAGGTGTTATTGTTATGCCTTACACTGCTAAAGGTGATTGCCATGGCTTCATCTCTTTTTAAGATCACTGAGTACCTGAATGACTGCTTTGCCCCAGACAGAAATCTTACTGGGGAACTGGCATTAGGTACAAACTGCCATCTATATCCAGGGCCTGCTTCTGTCAGATCAGAGGCATCATCCCAGACTTCAAAGAGAAGCCCTCTGTTTCCTGGAAAGTTAAAATAAAAATATTCTCAGTAGCAGCCAACAAAAAACCCAGAGCATATGCTAGAATCAGTGGTGCAAGAAGGCAGGCCAGAATAGAAGATTTCAATAATCGATTGGCTCCATTTGCAGATCTATTTGCACTCCAAGATAAAACATAGTTCTTGCTTTAGGGAATTCTCTCTACTTTGATACCCTTCACCAGAAAGAACAAAAATCCTCAAAGAACAGAACTTCCAACCCAGCTAACGTGTCTGGTGTCCTGCAGGAAGCATTGTGCTAAACCATGGTCAAAATAAGCCAAGCCCAACACTATGGTCAATAATTTCCTATTGCAATGCTCCACTCGAGCAATGTCCCCAGCTTCCTCAGCTAGCTCATCTATCCCCACTTTTACCTAAATATTGTCATGCTTCTTCACCTTATTTTCAATGGCTTTATACATCAGGCTGAGCTTCCCCCCACCACAGTAAGGCTGCAAGCAGTGGGCTGAGCTATCTTCCCTGCCTGTTCTTGTTATCAAATCTAGGAGAAAATAGCTTGATATTGAAGCAGAGAGCATTTTGGGAAGCCCTGTTTCTATAACACCTTCATCACCAAATGATTGCTACCCTCCACTTCCATACGTATGGATTTTTAGTAATACAAATACTGTACCTGGCTGGGGGGCAGTAAGCCTGCTGTCCTTGCCAACAGGCTCAGTGGTGCAGCTGATTTTCTGGGGAGAAAGGTGCTTCACTTTACAGAGGACACCTGGCAGCAGGAAAGAAGTCAACATGCCACTTGCGATTTAGAAACACAAACGAGCTGTGGAATAAGCCCACCTTCTTTCCAAAAGGGTCAACGTTTTCCCCAGAAACCTGGGCTTATATATCAAAGAAAGTAAAAGGGTTCACTCTTCCAGTCAAAATAACTAGGCCTTCCTTATGGCGAGCATTACGACTCCCTCACTTATTATCCATCAATACTGGTTGGGTTTCTGTGGCCAATGCCGATACCACTGTACTGGAAAAACATTTAACATCTTCCCTTACCTGCAACAGTGACCCGCACTGGCTCCTCGAAGAAATCCCCCATGATAGTGAGGTCAGTGCCTCCTCCAAGACTTCCACCAGCTGGATACACAGAGGCTATATCTGCAGAGGAAGGAAAAGTGGAATCTGAAAATGAGCATGAGAAAGATTGATCCCAAACCTATTTCAAAGCCAGCAGCACACTTGAACTATTTCCAACAGGAATAGGCTTCTGTGAATGGAAAAGGCTTCCCTGCTCCTTCATTCAGCTCTTGGCAGCCACGGGGATTATAGAGAGCTCAGCAACATGACAGGAGAAATACTGTAATGCTTGAACTGTTACTTCGTCTTACACCTGTCATGCTCAGATTGCAGTTGTGGAACTCCAAAAAGTGGAAGTGAAGTTGTTTTAATCCTTTTGACCTTGTCTGACTCACTTCTGAACTCAATCTACAGGTTTAGATGCTGCTGCATCTAAACAGTCCCCTTTCCAACAGTCCTTATGGGACAAATGCAGGGAGCTGAGCATCTGACCGTGAGCATCCACATTGTGACCACTAGAATCTTTCAGGATTTGCTCTTTATTAATGCCATCCCCTTCCACAACGAAGACCTATTTTCCTCCACGATGACAAGTTTTTCATTTTGTATTCAGATGTCCTAGTCTAAGCATCTAAATGCACTTACAGAGTCTTGAAAAAAGCCTAATGAAAAAGCTGAGGGAAACTTTTCCAGATCTACACTTTTTTTCCTAATTCATCCAATTTCAAAACTTTACTTTGATAGTATTGTCTACTGGGTAGAGGAGTACAGTCTACTAGGTAGATTTCGCAGATGTTATTTCTGCTAAGCCTCTGCCAGTAGCCTACAAGGCAACTCTGGGCAGGGTCGTTTCATTTTACCGTAACTCAGTTTCCTCACATGTAAATAAGGAGCTAATGATACTGCCCTCTTTTAAAAAGTGCCTAGAATCTTTAGGTGAAACAAGCTATATGCTATATACAATATATGAAATACATTAATGCATTGACTGTATTCTAAAAAAATTCTTTTGTTATTATCTCTTGTTCCAGGCTCCTCAGATATAGCACATATATTTCAGGTCCTCTACTGGTCAAATCTTAATGGAAAAAAACATGGTGGGGCCTTTCTGAGGACCTATGCAGGTGAACCACGTGGTATGTTTCAGCTTTATGCAACTGCAGGAGGTCAAACACTATCCCGTGCTCTACAGCCCATGATCCCCTACTTCCATAATGACCGTTAGGCACAAGTCCTTTCCAAAACTCTGGCACTGTTTTTTCATGATCATTATGTTGAGTGGGTGCTCAGGATTTCATTATCTGTTATCTACATAGCTGGAAGTGTCATGTCATGGTTATAAATATTAACATGCCTTAATTTTTATTCTTTTCCAACCAATGGTGCAGCAATGTGCCATTCACCAGCCCTTTATGTGAACTCAGCTCTTAAGAGTGGCTAAACATTATCTCCATCATCTCATCCTAAGGCCACTGCGTTACCTAAAGTGCAATCTTACCAAATATGATGTGATTTAAGGGGGAAAGGTGGTGTAAAACTTCTCTAGATCCAACACCTCAAGTCTACAACTGTTACAGGACAAGGAATAAGGATTAAACAACTCCATTCCAAACCCTGTCACAGAATCACGGAATGGTTGAGATTGGAAAGCACCTCTAGAGATCATCTAGTCCAACCCCCCCGCTCAAGCAGCGTCACCTAGAGCACATTACCCAGGATTACGTCCAGATGGCTTTTGAATATCTCCAGGGAAGGAGACTCCACAGCCTCTCTGGGCAACCCGGTCCAGTGCTCAGTCACCCACAATCCAGTGCTCAGTCGCTCTGCTGTTCTCTGCTTGACTCTTCCAAGTTAGAGCTGTCCATCACAGACAGAGTTCAAAGATATCTCTAAGATGTGAACATTAATCCACTGGGGATTTAGCACGTAGCCTAAGGCAGCACACCCAGCCCTTAGCAGGTAAATTTGGTCTTCCTGAAATTTTCTATCTATCTGCAGCCTTTTGTCCCGTCAGCCCACAATGGAGCATAACATACCAGGGGAGCTGCACACCTAAAACAAGGGCACAACATGACTATGTCCTTAGGAAGAGTAACAGCAAGTTTTTTTCCTAGACCACTCTGGAATTGTCGTGGGACTGTGCAACTGGTGAGGTGAACCAGTGCAATACCTGAATGGGTCTGATACAAGAAAAGCTCCTGTTTGGCACTGATGAGCCAAGCATCTTTGTGTACTGTTGACCTGGAAGAAAAAGAAAATGCCTGAGAGATTCATGGCAATTTAAATTGGGATTAGACCTTCTTTTGGCAGAACTGGACACTTGCTCTCCAGATGAACAGTGGGATATTTTTATGGGGACTAACAATAACTGTCACCCATGCATTGAGACACTGATTCAAGATACTCCGTTATATGGCTGGAATGCTTTATAAAAAGTTCTTTCCCATTACAAAGCATGGCTTTGATATTATCAAAATGCATCCTTATGTTTTCTTTTCATGACATAATTCTTTCCTACTTGAATGATAGGATAAAAGTGAGGTGGAAGGAATTTATTCAGCTACACTTAACAAATGACTTCTGTTTTGGACACTGAAGCTAAAGTATTAAACCTCCAAAGTGGAGGTGCTTTGGAGGAGGAATGTCCTCCCTTTTCATCCCTAATACGACGATCATCTTTTCAAGTTAACAAAACCTAATTTCTAAGGAACAAAACATAATTTTCAGTGCAAATGTCAGTACAAGTTTCATGCACTTACCCCAAACTCAACTGTGTTCCCACATAGAAAAATAGAAAGAGCTTTCTTACTCACCTTCCTTTGTTAAACACTGAGAAGCTAACATTGTGAGACCCTGGAGGAGAGAAAACACATTTACTTTAGGGCAGGCAGGTGAAGTGCTCCGTGAAGGGTGTATTCTACCAAATCTTATCCACGTGTCCTGGGCCTGATTCTCCTCCTCATTACGTTTTCCTTGTACCAGTATAATTGTGCTGATTTCAGAGCTGCTCTTGATTTACAGAATCACAGAATGGTTGAGGTTGGAAGGGACCTCTGGAGATCATCTAGTCCAACTCACCTGCTCAAGCAAGGTCATCTATAGCATATTTCCCAGGATCACATCCAGACAGGTTTTGAATATCTCCGGGGAAGGAGACCTCTCTGGGCAACCTGGTCTGGTCCAGTGCTCTGTCACCCTCACAGGAAAGAAGTTTTGCCTCAGGTTCAGATGGAACTTCCTGTGGTTCAGTTTCTGCCTGTTGCCTCTTGTCCTGTCGCTGGGCACCATGGAGAAGAGACTGGCCTCATCCTGGGGAGAGG